TGTGAAGATCTGACATCAAGTATAGTGAGATGGGGGTATTCAATAATTGAGTGTAATTGACAATTGTCAGATGAAAATGTCACAAGACCATCCAATTTTTGTGATTCTCTATTCCGAATACATAAATGCTTGAGTAACGGAAACGATCGAGCAATTCGCATGAAAAATTCATGTTCGAATGGAATAGTATCTTGTATAAGTAAATTGGTAACAAAACTAAATACAATATTTGGAAAGTTATTACCAAGATCTTGAAGATAATTAAATTCAAAAGGAAGTGAGAAAATTGAGCATGCAGCTCTGACACCATAAACAAAGTCGGTACTTCTATGAACATAACTGACTGTACTACTGACATGTTGTAGTCCAATATTTGTTAATGTTAGTTGAATATCTTCACTAGATAACTTGTGAGGTAAAGCAATCGGATCGACATAAGTACAAATATAGAAAGTGAATGAACGAAGTTGTGGCATATAATCCAAAATATGATGTTGAACAAAAGCACCACCAATAACTTTATTTCGACCTTCTACAGAAATATTTAGAGTTAATTTTTCCAGATTTGACATACGACGAAGAAGTAATACAATTTTATCATATTGATGAAATAAACAGAACGATTTTAATGAGAAACATTTTAGATTTAATAATTGGTCCTACAAAAAGAAAGAAATGTTTTTTTTGATAATACAGAAGATTAAGTTAGAGGCCTCAGTATTTTACACATGGTATATAATCTATATTCTATATGTGAATGACCGCAAATGACAAATCTATTAGTTTGATTTTCTCATTTTACAGCACAACAAACGAACGTTAAAAGAACAATTAAAGTTTCAGACAAACTTCCGATCATATCTGAATTATTGGAATAATTGTTATTATAAAAAAACTTTCGTTCGATTCTATGCTGATGATCATTTACGTATGATAATATTTAATCAATCATGAAACAGAGTAGTCTAGTTTTTAATATAAAACTTGTTCGATAAAATATTATATAATTATATTTTCTAGCAACAAATTTCTAGCAAGTATAAACTGAATCTCGATGATTTGAATATATTCCTCAACACGTAATACTTTTTTCTCCTTATCAAAATAACACTTAACTATTCGATCTTTTGTCTGAATTTTTTAGGTCAGTCGTTAATTGCAATGAAATAGATATAATCTTCATGGCATAAATGAAATTATTTGTAAAAACTTACCATATTATGAACAGCTTCTGAAAATCTGTCCATATAATGAACATTGACACACAATGTTGTCAGTTTTCTAAGTCGACCATCAAGTAAATAAAAACAATCATCTAAAGTTTCGACACTGATATATAAATGAGTAAGAATCGGAGATGAAAAAGTAGTCGATGGCAAATAACGAAGTGATAAAGGTGGATAACAAAGTGGTATATATGGACATGGCATAACAGATAGTTCCATGATACTTAGTTTTTTTAAATTTTTGAAAAAGGTCAAGATGTGAACATATACATCTTCAATATACATTTTCGCTGCACATTCGTTTTTATCATTATTGATAAGAGTAAGATTTGTAATTTGTTCTTGAAAAATTGATCGAAGAGATGATTCATCTAAAGGAGAAAAGCAATGCAGTGAAACATATTATTGTCTTTTCTGTTTTAACACCTTTATTATTTCTCAACTA